ACATGATTAAATTTATTAATATTTTATCTCTCTATTCATATATTTTATTTTATTTATAAAATAAGAGTATTACCGAATCAAAATATTTCACACTGCTGAGCTTTCAGCATATTTTTTCTTGTTTAATACTCAAACACTCCTACAAACCTGGGATTTTAATTGCCCCATTGCTGTAGGAATTCACAGACAACATGCAGTCACATTGTGGGACAGTGTGATACTCACTACTAATTGATGCCCCAGTATCTCTTCTCTCCTGAACTGCCCCAGATTACATGGGCACACATCCATGCCCAGTTAGAAACAACAATTTCTAGTCTCCTTTGAGGTTAGATGTGGCCAAATCACTAATCTAATTTTATCCATTGGTAGCTGAGCAGAATATTGCCATAGACTTGATATTTCCCCCCTCCTGTTACTTGAGGAATGGATTCAGGTGGAGCAGGGCTCTTGAGCCTAGAGGAGGCAGTCAATTGTGGGTAGTGGCCGAGTTCCCATCAACCTGGGAAACAGAATGTCCTGTGGAGCCACACACAGAGAATGTTACAGTGGTAGGAAAATGGTCTTCTTCAAACCACTGTATTTTGAGTTCATTTTGTTGCAACAAATAATTCTATACCATAATTAATAATGGTCCTATCTCATAATTAGTTTTGATTGGAGTTGTCATATTTAACATGGTCATAATCTTTCTCATCTGCTCTTGTGTCTTTCATTATTTAAAACAAATATCTTGTATTAAAGTATAGCGAAATTTGCATACATCCTGAATGTATCTCAGTGTATTTTCATAGTAAGCATACCCATAAAACCACTAGGAAGATTAAGAAATATACCCTTAAGCAATATCCCAGAGGCCTCCCAAATGCCACATTCTAGGGTTTACTACCATGATTACCATTATCTGACTTCTATCAACATTGAATGTTTTTGTTTACCTGTGAGCTATATCTAAGTAGAAGCTTACCACATACCCACATTTTTGTGTCTAGCTTCCTTCACTCGTCATTATGTTCATATGATTCTTTTATATTGAAGCATATAACAATAGTTTGCTCATTGACATAACTGTACTGCATCTGTTGGTATTAAACCTATCACCAAGCATTTTCACACTCTACTGTGGATGCAATTTATAATGCGTCCATGTTTTATCATACATGCCTTCCAATGTTTTTGAGGATAACTTTTAAGAAGTGAATGAGTAAGATACTTTTACTCTAATGTTATAAGAGAAGAAAATTTACAATATTTTAAAAGTATACTATATTTCTCAATGACCCACAGACTATAGAGTTTCATTTGTGTAAAGCTCAAAATTAACAAAATAAATCTTTGCTGCTTGAAATTCAGATAGTGGTTACCTTTGAGGTCTATGGAATAAAAGGCTATCTTTTAGGATACTAGTAATTCTCTGTGTCTTGATTTGAGTTTTGATGACAGAAGAGTGGACAGTTTGTGAAAATTCATTGTGATTTCTGTATCTTTCTGAGTGCATGTCATACTTAATATATGGTCTAAAAATTGGTTATAGTGAGTGGATCAGATATAGTCCATATGTAAAAACCATAGGGTGATTACCTTTTATTTCATTGGATGTTTTTCTTAATGGAAACATAAAGAATGTCTCACTGGAAAATAACTCGGAAGGGCAGTTGGAAATAAGGGAACATTATCAACTTGAGATTCTGTGAACTGATGCAGACTCCATAGCTGTGAATACCTTTGATTATCCTACACTCATTCCCATGTGATTTATTGATTTAATGAATATATATTTTTACTGTTAGTAAAAACAACTTTACTACTATTCTAACAAAATCCAACAACCCTATTAGGAAAAACAGCAAAAATGAAAAGGATGAGAATCCAGTTAGCTCCCAATCATAGTGAATGAACAGATAACTAACTTTCAACTTGGAAACAGCTTCTGAGGTACTGAGAGTAACACAGAGACAATTATAGGACTGGGGAGAGTTACAACATGTATCTTGTTGATAATAAAACCATTGGTTAAAGCGCTATTTGTAATAGCATTTAGAGATAGCAATTAGTATGCATCCATTGTTTACCAATATATATTATTTATAGATACAATTTTATTAGTCGGTTATGTACTTTAGTCCTTGATTCCCTTGAGGAGTGTAATGTTATATAACTTTGCTCATTAGAGTTTGCTGTGCCTGTGTCCTGAGGCTACTCACAGTGTCTGATTTCCTCTTTCAGTTTAAGTCAGTGTATTCAATCCTTTAAATAGTCAACTTGAAAGTCTATGAACATACACAGAAATGCATCTGTTATAGTCTGAATGTTTGTATCGCCCCTAAATTTATCTGTTGATGACCTACCCCCCTTTGATGGTATTCTAAGATGGTATTTGGGAGGTGATTATGTTTAGACTAGTGCCCTGGTGCACAGATTTGTGCACATCGGGAAAAAAAATCAATAAAAACAAATCCTCAGGTGAGGATTTAAAAAATAATCTATAATAATAAAAGCATAATATGCTAATTAGAGCGGACGACCTTCCGGATGAAACTGGGTCCTGGGTGCCAGAGGGAAGCCGGTGCCGGCAGCTGGGGGAAGGATGTCCTACTCTTGCATGAATTTTGTGTATTAGGTCTCTAGTATTACATACAGACAGGCAGCAATACATGTTCATTTTAGAAAAAAATTAGAAAATCCAGATAATTCATATAAAGCAAATAAAAAAGTAAAACTTTTGAGTCACAGATAACTCTGTCACCAAAAGATTATCATTGTTGCCCTAGCCAGTTTGGCTCAGTGGATAGAGCGTTGGCCTGTAGACTGAAGGGTCCCGGGTTCTATTCCGGCCAAGGGCACATTCCCAGGTTTCGGGCTCAATCCCCAGTAGGGAGCGTGCAGGAGGCAGCAGATCCATGATTCTCTCTCATCATTAATGTTTCTCTCTCTCTCTCCCTCTCCCTTCCTCTCTGAAATCAATAAAATATTTTTTTTAAAGATTATCATTGTTGACATTTTGGTGTAAACATTTCCAAATCTTAAAAATCTTAACACATAGGATAACATATAAATACCTAACATACAGAAAGTAACCTTTTCTTTTAAAACTCATCTTTCTAACCACTTGTCTATTGGTTGTTTCCAGTTTACCGTTATTATAATGTATGCTGCAATGCATATCTTTGTGCAGCCATTTTTGCACATTGTCAGCTTGTTTACCTAGAAGGAATTCAGAACTGAAATTTCCTGGTCAAAGCTCCTGACCCGGATCGTCATGTGGCCCTTCAGGAAGGAAGTACTTTTTAAAATTCTTACCAAATACAAATGAGAATATAGCTCATGCCAAGAAGTGTACAACGTCTCTGATTAGTTGGCACTTAGAGTGTCGATGTTAAGAAGCTCCTAGGCGCGCGGACGGGAAGGCGGGAGAGGAGAAGCTGGAGAAGCCGCAGCGAGCTGGAGCCGCCAGAGGACCTGAAGAAGAAGCAGAAAAACCTGTGAAAACTAAGACTGTTCCTTCCAGTAATGGAGGGGAAAGTTCCAGTCGCAGCGCTGAGAAGCGATCAGCTGAAGAAGCTGCAGACCTCCCAACAAAGCCTACAAAGATCTCCAAGTTTGGATTTGCCATAGGTAGTCAGACGACAAAGAAAGCCTCCGCCATATCCATCAAACTTGGATCAAGTAAACCTAAAGAAACTGTTCCAACTCTTGCTCCAAAAACCCTTTCAGTAGCAGCAGATTTTAATGAAGAGGAAGATAGCGAACCAGAGGAAATGCCTCCAGAAGCAAAGATGAGGATGAAGAATATTGGAAGGGATACACCAACATCAGCAAGACCAAACTCCTTTAATAAAGGAAAGCATGGGTTTTCTGATAACCAGAAGCTATGGGAGCGAAATATAAAATCTCATCTTGGAAATGTCCATGACCAAGACAATTAAATAATATGTTTTAAAATTGGGGTATGGGGTGGGTGTAAAGTTAAAAGGAACAGTTTCCTTTTTAAAGA